ATTATCATTATCATTTATTATCATCATCATTTATTATTATTCATTATCATTATCATTTATTACGATAGATGTTTCATAATAATATGGGTAGCAAAGGTATTGGCAAAATATGAGCCAATATATTTATGATGCACTTGTTATTGATTTTGTGTGATCAAAGTATCAATAACATGGTGTTTTAAATGCCACAATTATAATTATATGTAGAATGATTAGCTGAAGACCAAACCTGAGCCAAAGATGACTAACTAAGCGACATATTTGACCGAAGCTATTTGATTCCACCAGGTGACGTTGAAGGCACGGCCAGGCTTCGTCGACCTGACCCCGCTGCCCTACATCCCTGGAGCAATCATCGATAAGTACATCGGCATCCTCAACTTCTTCTTCATACGAGAGAGCACATCCATCAGAGAGGTAAGAGATCATCCACTAGCTTTGTCTTACGTGGGTCGTCTGAACGACATGCCCGTTTGGGTCATGCAATAGGATTAAGAGCACGCGCCATCACATACTACGCAACAGGAGATTCTTTCTAAAGTGATCAGAGCTGACCTGAAGTCACCTAGCTAGATAATTATGTGATGCTGACGTAGCTAGGTAGTCATATGACATCACCTAACCTAGCTGGGTAGGTACATGACATCTTCAATCATTCAATCATTCATCATTCAATTACATTAATAATGATTTTTAAATGATTTTTAACGATAATAATTATTACATTATTAATGATAATAACAAACAATTATTTACATTTTTGTCACTATTAACCCCTGATGTCATGTACCTACCCAGCTAGGTTAGGTGATGTCATATGACTACCTAGCTAAGTCAGCATCACATAATTATCTAGTTAGGTGACTTCAGGTCAGCTCTGATCACTTTAGAAAGAATCTCCTGTTGCGTAGTATGTGATGGCGCGTGCACTTAATCCTATTGCAATTCACGACAATCAATGGCTCAAAGGAGCGTGGCAGAGCGAATAAACATGAATTAATTACGAGTAATCAGTCTAACTAATTAGCGCGCACGATGCTCATCGATGCTGTGCACGTTGCAGGATGGCGGTCTCAGTGGGTTCATGCAGAGCTTTGTGTCGGAGGTGATGGCAATAACGCGCACACACGTCGCTGCACTCGGAGGCAATGCCATGGTCGCGTACCGCATCAATAAGTGTGTCTTACTGGACAATCCACACAAGAACCAGGTGAGTAGCAGGGCCGTAGGCTGAGCAAATTTCTAGGGGGACAGTGGCAGATCCAGGATTTCAAGAAGAGAGTGAGAAACAGGTGGGGGTCTGGGGGTCCTCCCACAGATAATTTTGAAAATGTAGATCGCATGAGATGGTATTTGAGGCACTTTTGAGTATGAGTACATGTACAGCCTTCATTCTGACTACAACAATTCTCTTTTACTAGAACTTTTTTTTTTTTGCTTTAAAATCTAGGGGGCAGCTGCCCCCCTTGCCCCCCTCAGGCCACGTGGCTGAGTAGCATGTGTCCACTAAGAGCATAGTCCATAGTAGCAGTATGTTCATATTATACATGTCATACACGTGTCATACACGCTTACACATATCAAGGATATCTTTTTTATCTATTTATCTATTAACCTATTTATTTATAAAGAAATGTATACAGTCACACCTGTATATAAGTATTACCCAAAACTATATATATATATATATATATGTTATATGTATTAATTTGCACACGCATACGCACACTGACAAGTATTTGTCACACTTTGTTTTGACGTTGCCATTGAGCCGTTCTGCGTTGCCGTGGTTACAGATCGACGACGACGAAGATGAGGAGGTGCTGCTGTCGCTGATACAGAAGCCGCCGCCTCTCCTGCAGGGCTTTGACACATGCAACACGGAGTTCATGCCTGGAAGCAGCAACATCCCGTGTGACCTGCAGGTATCTGCACGGCGTGCCCCTCTTGGAAAAAAACATTAATATTCAAGGATATGTACATGCATGAATCATGGATGTTTCTTGCCTGTTTCATGCATAAATAATAGAATATAATACCCTGCCGAGACAGGTATTTTTGTGACTGTTTTGCACATGAATTCACTGTTTTGCGCATGGTGTAGTATACATCGCCCCTGTCGCTGATGTACCCCTTTTACATTGTGCCTGGGCAATGAAGGTCAAATCCGAGTCGCGGTTATCGTGCGGCCTGCTAGACATATGCCCTACTCCATTTCTTTATCTATCGTTTCACCTCTAGCTATTGGCTAGCCCTACATACTGTGCTACTACTTTGCCACCATCACTCCTCGTTACGGGACACCTGGGTGAATTAGGACTCGATATACCAAGTTGTGCTTATTGTCATCATGCAGTGTTATCATATCGTGGATATCACACGAAGTGCTGGTGGTGGTGGGGGGAGGGGGGCAGAGTAGTAGTGACATGAAGTTGTGTGTAAGGTCTGAATCCGCTTTTCCTGCTTCTCGTACTGTGTGTGAAACGGTGACTCGATAAACCAAGTTGTTCTTACTGTTATCGTGCAGTGTTATCATATTGTGTGCAGATGTTTACCAGAGTATGGAGGGGAAAGATTTCTGGCACCAACCAAAAGCATTTCTCCACGATTCTCGACAATCTGGTCATGGTAGGATTTTTATTTTTGCTATCTCTTCTTTGTACACTTTTAGACTGGAGCTCTATGCACTGCGTATGAGAACTTTCTAACTTTACTATGTTTCTGTCAAAGGTCAATGAGGAAAAGTTCATGTAAACGCTAATGTTAGGACTAATTTTGTTTCTGACAACAGGCCCCCAGAGTTGATAATGAAACAGTATGCCCTGGCTTGTTTTGGTAGCAGTTTCTTCTTTACAAACTCGACATTGATGTTTGCCTGTATTGTGTGGCATTCGCTTGATGTCATCTGGTCATCTTACAGAACGTGTGCTTCCGGTTACGAAGGCTGACGCCCTGTGCGCTATGTAACATCTACTTCAACATCGATCTGCCAGGAGACAATGACCTGCTGGTACGTCAAGCACTTCTAACTACTCAACACTTTCCTTAATCACTTTACTAGTACAGAATATGCTGAAGTTTCTGTTTGTATATATTTTTTCTTCATGTTGTATAGCATTGCATTGTACTGTATCAGTCAGAAATTTTATCATTTTAACTACTCAACACTATTGCATTTATCAGATTTTTTCTCCGTGAAAAAAACTCGTCAGTACAAATGTATTTGTATCTGAATTACATGCAATAAAGATTTAATAAATAATAAATAAATAAATAAAAGTGGCCATCTTCTCGTCTGTACAGGGAAAATGTCGAATCGGAAGTTGCGAAGCGAGAAACGGACTTAGAATGCCTAATACGTTGCATTTTTTACCCTAGTTGTACGTGCTATATTAAACTGCATGTTGCTCTTTGTTTTGGTAACGATAAATATTTGTTTTAGTAGAAGTCTTTAGTTTTGTAAATACTGCTCTCATGGCAAATGCAAAAACAAAAATGTTTGCTTTACAAGTTGCACATTCTTTTGCAGATCTGTATGGTGGGCGAAGCTGTGGGCATCGGAGAACCAAACTCTGCTGCTCCCCCTGCTGGTGATCTACTCATGAAAGCGGGCAATCAACAAGAGAACGACGATGCCGAACTCCAGTTTGGGATGGACGAAGTGAGTTGACTGAGCTAGCTACCTAGACGGACTTGCGGCCCTGGTTTTTGCGCGCAGCGCACAGCTCGCGGCAAAGCCGCGCCCCAACAGCGAATACGCCGCCCCCTTTTTGTCCATTTAGACAGATATCTGAGACAGGGGTCTGAAAACGCACTCCGCGAAAACTGGGCGCAATCCAACCGACATTTCGGGATGGACGGCTTGAGGCCACATCCAAACGGTCCCTAAACTTTTTTTGGAGTGGCGCGCCTCATGGCTAAGACGTAGTGGCTCCTACAAGAAAATTCCAGAAATGCTCTCAATCAGCGATGACGCGCTCGCTCATTGGCCGCTACGCGATGACGGGCACTACTGCCGAGTATAGAGTTATGTCTAAATCTGAGCTTATTACGAAGTGTCGTACGGCGCTCCACGTGGGGTGTTGCGGCCTATAAGCTATCTTGAAAAC